CATTGCACTGGTACAAAAAGACAGGGACCAATGGAACAGAATAGAAAATCCAGAAATAAGATTGCACAACTACAACCATCTGATCTTTGACAAACTTGACAAAAACAAGCAATGAAGAAAGGATTCTTTATTTAATAAATGGTGTGAGATAACTGGCCAGCCATATGCAGAAAATTGAAAGTGGACCCCTTCCTTACACCATCTGCAAAAATCAATTTTCAAGATAGATTAAAGACTTAAATGTAAAGCCCAAAGCTATAAAAACCATAGAAGAAAATCAGAAAATCCTGGCAATACCATTCAGAACATAGGCATGGGCAAATATTTCATGATAAAGACACGAGAAGCAGTTGGAACAAATGAAAAAATTGACAAATGGGATCTAGTTAAACTAAAAGCTTCTGCACAGCAAAAGAAACTATCATCAGAGTGAAGAGACAATTTACAGAATGGGAGAAAACGTTTGCAATCTATCCATCTGACAAAGTTCTAATATGTAGCAGCTACAAGGAACTTCAACAAATTTAAAAGATAAAAACAACTTTATTAAAATGTAGGCAAAGGACACGAACAGACATTTTTCAAAAGAAGACATACATGCAGCCAACAAACATATGAGAAAAGCTCAACATCAGTGAACATTAGAGAAATGCAAATCAAAACGAAAACGAGATACCATCTTACACCAATCAGAATGGCTATTAAAAAGTTAAAAAATCACAGATGCTGGCTAGGTAGTAGAGAAAAAAAGAACACTTTTACACTGTTGGTGAATATGTAAATTAGTTTAACCATTGTGGAAGACAGTGTGGTGATTCCTCAGAGATCTAGAGGCAGAAATACCATTTGAACCAGCAATCCCATTACTGGGTATATACCCAGAGGAATATAAATAATTCTATTATAAAGATGCATGCATTCCTATTTTTAGTGCAGCACTATTCACAATAGCAAAAACATGGAATCAACCTAAATGCCCATCAACGATAGACTGAATAAAGAAAATATGCTACATATACACCATGGAATACTATGCAGCCACAGAGGAAATGAGATGGTGTCCTTTGCAGGGACGTGGATAAAGCTGGAGGCCCTTATCTTCCACAAACTTATGCAGGAACAGAAAACCAAATATCACATGTTCTCACTTATAAGTGGGGGCTGAATGATGAGAACACATGGACACACGGTGGGGAACAACACACACTCGAGCCTGTTGGAGAATGGGGGGAAGGAGGGAGAGCATCAGAAGAATAGCTCATGGATGCTGGGCTTAATACCTAGGTGATGGGACGATCTGTGCAGCAAAGCACCATCGCACATGTTTACCTATGTAACAAACCTGCATATCCTGCATATGTACCCCTGAACTTAGAAAGAAAATAAAAACCATTAGCTTGATAGAATAATAAAAGAAGAAAGAGGTCAGGTACAGTGGCTCACCCCTGCAATCCCAGGACTTTGCAAGGCCAAGGTGGGCAGATCACTTGAGGCCAGGATTTCAAGAATAGTTTAGCCAACATGGCAAAACACTGTCTCTACTAAAAATATAAAAATTAGCCACACAGGGGGATGGGCGCCTGTGGTCCCAGCTATGGGACAGGCTGAAAAGGAGAATCCCCTGAACCCAGGAGGTGGAGGTTGCAATGAGCTGAGTTGTTGCCACTGCAATCCAGCCTTGGTGGCAGAGTAAGACTCTCTCAAAAAAATAAAAATAAATTAAAATAAATTAAAAGAGAAAACACTGAAATTACTAAAATCAGAAATGAAAGTGGAGATATAACTACCAATGCTACAGAAACAAAAAGGATTTCATGAGTATTATGAAAAAATATGTGCCAAAAATTGGATAACATCAATGAAATAGATGAATTCCTAAAAAAACCCAACACCTACCTAAAGTAAATCATGAATAAATAGAATATTTAAATAGACTTATAACTATTAAGGAGATTGAATTAATCATCAAAAATCTCATGACAAAAAAAAATAAATAAAATGCTTTGGAGCTGAGAGCTTCACTCGTGCATTCTACCAAACATTTAAAGAAGAACTAACACTAACTCTTCTCAAATATTTCCCAAACATATTGAAGAGATGGGAACATTCCTAATTCATTCAATAAGGCCAAGACTACCCTGACACCAAAGCCAGATAAAGACACTATAAGAAAACAATATCCCTTATGAACATTAATGCAAAAGTTATCAAGAAAATACTAACAAATCAAGTTCAGTAGCACATTAAAAGGATTATATGCCATAACCATGTGGAATTTATTCCTGAGATACACGGCTGGTTCAGCATAGGAAAATCAATCACTGTACACTACATTTACAGAATAAAGAACAAAAATTACATCATCATCTCAACTGATGCAGAAAAAGCATTTGAGAAAATTCCACATCCTTTCATGATAAAAAAAATTCAACAAACTAAGAATAGAAGGAAACTACCTCAACATAATAAAAACCGTATATGTAAAACCCCCAGAGATCACCATACTCAAGGCTGAAAGACTGAAAACATTCCTTCTAAGATCAAGAACAAGGCAAAGATGCTAATTTTCACCACTTCTATTTAATGTAGTACTAGAAGTTCCAACCAGAGCAATTAGGCAAGAAAAAAAAATTAAAAGGCATCCAAGTAGAGAAGGAAGAAGTAAAATTATCTCTGCTCACAGATGCCATGATCTTATAAGCAGAAAATCCAAAGATATCACCAACTAAAAAAAACTTATTAGATAAATTAAAAAACTTTGATAAATTAATTCATCAAAGTAGCAGAACAGAAAGCCAACACATGAAAATTCATTGTGTTTCTGTACACTAACAATGAACAATCAAAAGAAGAAATTTTGAAGACAATTACATTTACAATAACATCAAAAAGAACACTTAAGAATAAACTTAAGTTATGAGGTAAAAGATTTGTACAATGAAAACTATAAAACATTGCTGAAAGAAATTAAAGAGGACATAAATAAACAGAAATACATTCCATGTTCATGGATTTGAAGACTTACTATTGTTAAGATGTCCATACTAACCAAAGCAATCTACAATTCAGTGCAATCCCTATTAAAATCTCAATGTTTCTTACAGAAATAGAAAATCCCAACCTGAAACTCATATGGAACATCAAAGGATCCCAAATAGCCAAAACAATCTTGGAGGACTCGTGGTTCCTGATGCCAAAACTTACTAAAAGCTATAGTAATCAAGACAATGTAATAGTTGCATAAAGACAGGAATGTAAACCAATGAAATATAATAGAGTCCAAAACTAAACCCTTGTATATATGCTCAAATGGTTTTTTACAAGGGTGCCAAAACCATTGGTTGAATGGGAAAATCACATGCAAAAGAGTGAAGCTAGACCCTTACTTAAATTCATATATTAAAAATTAACCCAAAATGGATCAAAGACCTAAAATGTAAGATCTACAGCTAGGCTTAGCTTAGACAAAAACATAGGAGTAAACTTCTCTGACCCTGGATTAGGCAAGGATTCATCCAATTTCTTTGATTTCTTGGTTGCCAGAGGCAATCAAAGAAAAATAGACAAATTGGACTTCATGAAAATTTTAAAGATTTGTGAATCAAGAGAATATCAACATAGTGAGAACTCATCTCTACGAAAAAATTAAAAATTATCTGGGGATGGTGGCACATGCCTGTAGTCCCAGCTACTTGGGAAAATGAGGTGGGAGGATGACTTGAGCTTGAGAGGTTGAAGCTGCAGTGAGCCATGATTGTGCCACTGCACTCCAGCCTGGGCAAAGAGTGAGACACTATCTCAAAATCAAACAAACACACAAATACACACATGCACATACACACACACACACACAAAGAATATCAACAAAGTAAAAAGGAAACCCCTGGAATATTTATAAACCAAATGGCTGATAAGGGATTAATATCCAGAATACATAGAGAATTCCTAAAAGTCAACAACAAGAACAATTCAAAAATGGGCAAAGGACATTTTTTCAAAGAAGATACACAGACGGTCAATAAGCACTTGCAAAGATGCTTAACCTCACAAGTCATTAGACATATGCAAATCAAAACTAAAATGAAGTACTGCCTCATCCCCATTAGGATGGCGCCTATGGTTATGCCTTGCTGTCACTTTGAAGAAATTACAGTCAGCCTCTGTTCCCATGGGTTCCATATCTGCAGACTTAACAACTACAGATGGAGAACATTAAAAATAAATAAATAAAACCCAACTGTACCAATAATTTTTTAAAAATACAAAAATTTGAATACAGCATAACTACTTACATAGCATTTATATTGCCTTAGGTATTACAAGTAATCTGGAGATTATTTAGTGTAGACAGGAGGATGTGAGTAGCTTATATACAAATTCTACACCATTTTATATCAGTAACTTGAGCATCTACTCAAGTATCCACTAGATTTTGGTGTCCACTAGGGCCCTGGAACCAATCCCCTGTGGATACTGAGGGATGACTATGCAGACAATTCTTGACTTACGATAGTTTGATGTAAGATTTTTCAACTTTTGATCAGTTTATTGGGGTACCAGATGCCTTTTTGACTTAGGATATTTCTATTTACAATGGGTTTATCAGGATGTAGCCCCATCATAAATTGAGGAACATCAGTGTTTATTTCTAGAAAAGAAACTTTCTCCTTATTTTCCACACAAACATGACATGTGGTCTTCCCCTATTTTCAATCTCTTCAATTTTACTAGACTGGAGAACAATGGTTATAGACTCTCATTGCAGTAATTGAATTTGACTTGTACACTGTCAAATTTGTGTACAAATTTGTGTAATCCTGATAAATTAAGAAATATTTCCTTTTGGCAGATAAGCTTTGACCTCTAACCCACATATCTTTGCATCCAAAAGCAACTGTGAATGTCTTAGAGCTTTTGCAGACTACCGGTGAATCCCAAACCCAATAGTGGTCTCCTCTGACCCCCATCATGTGCGAGCTGAAATGCATGCTCCAACTCACCTGACTTGTTTGGGACTTCATTCGTGGCCACGAGGGCCCTGTTCTGCAGCAAAGCTCCCACAGCACTGGTAAGAGCTGGTTCTTTTTTTGGACCCATCTGAGCCTTACCCTACAGAGAGAAAGAAAGGAAGACACAGAAAACACCTTCTGTAGCCTCAGGTACCACATAGGAGGTACGGCTCTTCCCCCTTCACCAGCAGCAGACTGTCATCATCTGCAGGGACTCCCTGAATCCAGAGGAAAGGGACACAAACCCTGCCTTTCAGTTAGCCTGGTTCATGTCCTCCCAGCTGGTGCTCAAAGCCATATCTGGGTTTTGAAGCTTCCCTTTCATAATTAAGCCCTTGGGGTTGCTGGTGGTATGCTTATCCTATAAAATGAGTTGTATGGAGACATAAATCACTTAATGTCAATGAGGATATGGTTAAAGAACATTTTATTGTTTTCATTACACTTGAAGATTATTTGTTTTTTAAATATGAACAGAGAAGAAAAACAGATTGGCAGGCAGCAAATGTTTTAAGCATGAAATTCCAACATCCGGACGCCATCCCCCTCCCTGCAGAGCAGCAGCAGCAGCAGAATAGTTACATTAAAACGAAATAACGGCCAAAAGGTTTCTCCCATGCTCCTTTTACCTTGCGGTTGATCCCACCTCCAGTTCCATGGAAACTGCAGTATAAGGATAACCTGTTACACCACGTAAGAATTCTCACTCAGGCAAGAATGGCTGTGAGACTATAGCAGGCAGCTCATCCCCATCCACACAAAGAAAGCTATTTTTAGAGGCCCATATTGGTCTCTTTTGGTTAAGGGTATGACACATTTTAAAAAGTTGATTATGTCTAAAATAGAAACAGATTTTGGCTGTGTTGTTAACAGCCCTTCAAAACTGAAACAACCCCTCCCTTCTTGCTCCATTTCTAAATAAGCTTCACTATTAGAGAAGGCCCCAAAGGGGTGAAGCTGGCACAAGGGAAACAAATACGGCTGTTGAGATATACTCTACAGTGAGTGAAGGAATGCAGAAAGCAAGCAATTTTTCCTCTGTGTTCCCAATCACCACTCGGCTCTGGAAAACAAGGAGAGGAATGGGGCCAAGTCACTGGTTACACTCAGGACAGCCAGCTGGCCTTCTTCAGGAATAACAACACTTCCGTTCGCTGCTTCCCTGTGCTCTCTCTGGCCCCACTAACGCCGATTAACTGGAAAGAAGAACCGTTCGCAGAAATGTAACACACCCTTTACTGCTTTACAAAATGTAGGTAGACTTATACTTAGAAACTTTTCCATAATTAGGCTGTATTCAAGCCCAAAGTAGTCACATTCCTCCAAAAGTGTGGTGCCAATCGTATCAACTGGAAAAGGCTACTGGAGAAGGGGAGGGTGGGGTAATGTGGAGAGAGGAAGGGAGGAGTCCCTGTGTGCAAGACTCTGAGCGGGGCACTTCACTTAACTATACGTTTCCCAACAACTTGGCAAGGCACACGTGATTAACCCCATTTTACAGATGAAAGTGAATCTCCAAGAATTTAAGTAACTCAGCCAAGTTTACCTATATTATAGAATGAAATTTAAACCCTGGTCAGGTACGGTGGCTCATGCTTGTAATGCCAGCACTTTGGGAGGCTGAAGCAGGCAGATCACCTGAGGTCAGGAGTTCAAGATCAGGCTTGACAACATGGTGGAATCTTGTCTCTACTAAAAATACAAAAACTAGCCAGGCATGGTGGTGGGTGCCTGTAATCCCAGCTACTCAGAAGGCTGAGGCACAATCATCACTTGAACCCGAGAGGTGGAGGTTGCAGTGACCTGAGATCATGCCACTGCACTTCCAGCCTGGAAGACAGACTGAGACTCGAAAGGGAGGAAGGGAGGAAGGGAGGAAGGGAGGAAGGGAGGAAGGGAGGGAGGAAGGGAGGGAGGAAGGAAAGAGGAAAGGAAAGGAAAGGAAAGGAAAGGAAAGGAAAAAGGAAAGGAAAAAAGGAAGGAAAAAGGAAAGGAAAAAGGAAAGGAAAAAAGGAAGGAAAAAAAAAAAAAAAAAGAAAAGGAAAAAAAAAAAAGGAAAAAGGAAAAAAAGGAAGGAAAAAGGAAAGGAAAAAAGGAAAGGAAAAAAGGAAAGGAAAAAGGAAAGGAAAAAAGGAAAGGAAAAAGGAAAGGAAAAGGAAAGAAAGGAAAGGAAAGGAAAGGAAAGGAAGGAAAGGAAAGAAGGAAAGGAATGGAAAGGAATGGAAAGGAATTCAAATCCTGACTACTGAATGTAGAACCCTGGCTTTTTCTACATTGCACTTCTTCCCATGCTATCTCAGATGTCAAGACTGAATCTAGGCCAGGTGTGGTGGTTTATGCTTGTAATCCCAGCACTTTGGGAGGCCAAGGCAGGAAGATCACTTGAGGTCAGGAGTTTGAGACCAGCCTGGCCAACATGGTGAAACCCCATCTTTTCTAAAAATACAAAAGTTACCAGGTTTGGTGGTGGATGCCTGTAATCCCAGCTGCTTGGGAGACTGAGGCAGGAGAATCGCTTGAACTCAGGAGTCAGAGGTTGCAGTGAGCCAAGATCATGCCACTGGACTCCAGCCTGGGCAACAGAGTGAGATTCTATCTCAAAAAAGAAGACTCAATCTATGAAACTATTTATCATAACCACCACTCTTAACACACATACCTCTTCCCTCCTGTGTTCTGTTATCTACAGAGATTGTCTTCCTATCTGTTCAGGCTCTGGAGCTGAAAACCTTACAGTCAACCCTGATCCTCTTTTATTCTATGCCTAATCATTTTCTCAGTCTCATCAATTATTTCTTAGATTCTCCCTCCCACACAACCCTATTAATCCTCCTGTTCTAGGCCCTCATTTTATCCCTGTTGTGGTGGCTCTTACTTGGCCTCCCATTAAACCATGTGGAACAGTAGTTGTAGAAATGACCTTTCTAAAAAGCCAGTTGTATGCAACTCTAGTCTCCACTGTTCACCCAACCACATTGCCTATAGGGTGACACATGAGGCCAATTGGACAGAAAGGCCAAGAAAGCCAGTCTTCAGAGAGAAGAGAAGGCAGAGAATAGCAGGAGGAAGAGACAGGATGGCAAAGTGCAAAGGAGGACTGCCTGACTTCCTGAAGACTTTCCAGTTTCTGCTTCCAGGCCCTCAGACCTGGCTGTCCTTGATTTTAGGGTGCACATTCAATCAATTCCTCTTTTCTTCCTCTGTCAACTGGCTTGAGTTAAAGCCCTTCTAGATCTGGCTGTCTATCTTGCCTGTCTCTGTACCTCTTCCATAGGTTCTCTATGCTTTCACTGAGCCCCACCACCCCACAGATGGGTGCCTCCGGCCATAAGCTGGATGTTTTGTGTATAAAGCCCTTCCCAACCCCAACTCTAGGCTGGTGAACCCATTTTGATATTTAAGGGCAAAATGTTTGCTTGTGTTTGAAGACTTCCAAGAATTGCAGTGACTTCTTCCACAGCCCTCCTATATATGCCAACTGTACCAGCTCCAAGTCCCCCTCCATTTTTCAATGACAAATTCTTGATCAACCACTACCCAGCATGGTATCTGGTACATGGTAGATAGTCAGTAACTCTCTAATGCTTCTAGGGATAGAGCTCAGGATCCACAGTCTGTGGGATCCGTTTTGTTGGAAAGGGTCCCACCTCATTAAATACTGAATTTAACCAAAAGCTTTCTAAACAGGCTGTAGAGGCTGGGCACGATGGCTCACACCTATAATCCCAGCACTTTGGGAGGCTAAAGAGGGGAGATCACTTGGGCCCAGGAGTTCGAGACCAGTCTGAGCAACATAGTGAGACCCCACCTCTACTAAAAACACAAAAAAGTAGCCAGGTGTGGTGCATGAACCTGTAGTCCCAGCTACTTAGGAGGCCGAGGTGAGAGGATCACCTCAGAGAGATCAAAGCTGCAGTCAGCAGTGAATACACCATTGCATTCCAGCCTGCAATGAGACATGATTACACCATTGCACTCTAGCCTGCAATGAGACATGATTATACCATTGCAGTCCAGCCTGGGCAACAGAGTGAGACCCTGTCTCAAAAGTAAATAAACAAAAAAACAGTCTATATATATTTGAAGTATTCAAACCAACTTTCATGGCATCTAAGCCATGTCTATGAAACGAATAATTTTTATGCTATCTTATAAGTATGTCCCTGGGACATGTGTCTGTGTGTATGTGAATGGAGCTGTTTGCTGGCTCCAGTTCTGTGGTTTGTAAATCTACTATCTTCTATTTCAGCTTGTTATTTTACTGATTTGGACCTAATTATAACAGCTGCTTCCATTCATCCACATATCCCTTTAACTTGCTGATTCTGTGGCTTTAAATAAAAGGCTAAAGACCCCTTCTCTACAGAGCAAAATAGATGACCTGTAGGGCAGCTGCCTTGTGAGTGAAACTCAGGCAGTTTCACTTCAGATTTGCAATTCTTTTCTGGGTGGTTAAGGTTGATAACCATTGTTGGATAAAGAGTTTTTCCATAATGCTATAGAAACACGATGTATTCAAGTCTTCATCCAAAGAAGCTTCAAATACTCCAGAAATATTTTTTTAATACAACACCCAAAGGTGCCATTAGCTAGAAAGCATTCCCCTTCAAAAGAAGCCAACTCCCATAGGGATGAATCATGGTGATCAGTTCTCTTTACCCTTACACTTCTTAGAATAAGTAATTGAGGTTCTCTAGGAAATTCTACCTGCTCACACCAGGCATGCAAGGGCACAAAAGCCAACACCTGGGGAGAGATAGTTACCTGTGCTTTGGATGCCAATTTGGCTGCTATCTCGGCTGGATTAAAGACTCGGCGAGAAGACTGATCCTTGCAGAAATTAATATGTCGCTTGGCTGTGGTTTCATTGAACCTCCTCATACAATATGGGCACTGAATATAATCTGAATGTAAAAACAACAAATGGAAATTAACACTTCAAAAACAATTATAGAATGGACTACATGAAGTGAAATAAGGATATGATGGCTCATGCCAGGAATCCCAGCACTTTGTGAGGCTGAGGTGGGTGGATTACTTGAGCCCAGGAGTTTGAGATCAGCCTGGGCAACATGGCAAAAGCCCATCTCTACAAAAAATTAGCCAGGTATGGTGGTGTGCACCTGTGGTTTCAGCTACATGAGAAAATCGCTTAAGCCCAGGAGGTCAAGGCTGCAGTGAGCTGTGATTATGCCACAGCACTCCAGCCTGGGCAATAGAACCAGACCCTATTTTAAATAAGTGAACAAATAAACATGTAAGTAATGATGTGAACCCTGCTCCAACATGAAAGAACAAGGTCTCAAACTCTGGTTTGAGACTATTCCAAAGGGGTAGATGTGCAAGGGCTCAATTGAAGGACATGGAAAGGAAAAATGTCACAACCTGTGCATTCATTTCAATTGTCTGCCCTTGAAATGTTTAAGTGATGTACCTTTCTAGAAAGAAAAGATTATACATTAGAACTTCTCAATGAAATAAATTATTTAGTGAATGCTGTGTGAAGAAAGTAGTTCCAGGATCACAGAATATTAGTATTGATGGCACAGAAGGGTAAATTCAAAAGCCCAGGTTGTGGTGCTGGGTGAGTATTACAGAAGTTATGGAGTTACAGAAGGAGATGAGATGTTTCCAAATGTGGGTTTGGGAGATGTGAACGGAGGCCAGTGGCATTGTGTCACTGGTAGAAAGACATACTGCTTTTGCAGTAGCTAGATTGTTTTCACTTAAATACTAAGTGAGCAGGCAATATATTCAGGAAGGAGATAGCGATAGGATAAAAGGTGAGGGCTAAAAAAATAGAAAAGGGAAAGAAGGAGGGATGATAGGAAGGTGTCACTAAAAACAGCTTCAGCTTCCAGAGATGCAATGGCCCAGGCAGCTCCTGTCGGCCTCAGGTTCTCTGTGGTTCTGTATTATAGCTTTTTGTCTAAATTCTTCTTTCATTTGCAATTACCAGACATAATTGGCTAGTGAGAGAAATGAAAAGTAGGAAAGAGCCAAGATCTTCTTAGAACATAGAGCTGCTCATAGCAAAACTAGGTTGGCACCTACCCCTCTAAATCAAGCAGGGATGGGTGTTTACTTTGTTTTAGGTATCTTAAAGGGTTAACACATTAGATATCAGCAACATAAAATAATGCCCTCCCCCCAGAAGGGTGTGAAACTGCATCAACCTCAAAAACTGTAGATCTTGTGTTAGTGTACAATCAAAATGTCTGCATGTGTGGATAAATATTTAATGTAGTGCTGTTAAGAATTTTTTAAGCCACCTTTTTAAGCAGTTTGGGGAGTTTTCTATTTGAACAAATCATTTCCTAAAATGTATACTCAAAAAATGTAAGAATTAGTAAGCACTTAGCAATCATCGGGTAGTCTTATCCTTTATTTCTTACTCCAGAAGGCAGTACCTCGTCGTTAATTTAATACTGACTGAGCCTCTACTTGGTTCCAGGTGCTGTTTTACACCTGGGGATGCAATGTCTCTGAAATCAAGAAATAAGCATTCTATGATAGAAACAAATAAATAAAAATTTCACACGGAGATAAAGGCCTTGGGAAAAAAAAAAAAAAGAACAGGACAGCATTGGGAAATAATAAAAATCCCAGCGCTGGAGGTTGCCTGACTGGTTTTGAGCCTGAGTTCTTTACTTGTTATATGTGTGAACTCGGGCAAGTTACCCAATCTCCTTAAGCTTTCATTTTCCCAGCACCTACATATCACCTGTTTCATCGGATTGTTGTGAAAGTTAACTGTGATGATCCACATAAAGGCTTGGCACAGTGGGTGGGGTGGAACATACTGAATGTTTTATAAATGCTAGATATTGCTATAAGGAAACAGGTTCAGCAAGGTTGCGATTCCAACTACCAAATAGAAATGAAACGGCCTGGAAAAAAAGAATAATAGAAAGTGCCATTATCATTCAGAATTCACTTACAATGGTTTAGAAGAACCATCTAGAATATGGCTCTTAGCTTGGTGGTTATTTCTTCAATTTTGCCAGCTGGAAAGCCAAATCTTACACAAGAAATGCTGCAACCATAAACCCTACTCACATCGGCACAAACAATGATCATGGCAATACTGAGTTGCTTCCTTAAACCCACTTTTTCATTCACTCACTGCCACCCTTCTACGTATTTGGTACTACATATTACCATGGAGACAGCAAAGCTGAAGTCTATTTCCCCGCCAAGAAAAATCTCAGAGATGACTAGGCAAACAGACAATTACAGCTTGGTGGGTTAAACTGTAGTAGAGGAGGCACTAGGGCCTCTGGGACCCTACAGAGGGAATGTGAGGCCCCATCAGAGGAGCAGAGAGCAGGCAGGACAGGGTCCTGCATCTGAGCATTCAAGGTTGCTGGTTGTATTTATGTTAAACTTCAGGTATTTTGAGAATTCCTGTGTTTTCTGCAACAATCTGAACCCAGCATGACTGAGCTACAAGCTCTACCCTCAGCTCAATTGGAGTCACCTGTCTTGCTCTATCAATAATGTTTTCATAAAATCACTATGTCCTATTTATTTCAATAGGTAATGATTTTAAAAGTCAGAGTACAAATGAATTCTGATGAGAAATATGGTGGTCATATCTCACAGAAAGGTAGAAAACCAAGCATCATTCTAAAATGCAAATACTGTGCTGTGTATCCATGTCTATGTAGCCATATAAAATGATGACTGAATGTCCCAGGCCTCACAGAAAAATAACAATTATAAATATTCTATATCACTCTCTGCATAAACTGTCACAGTATCCTAGAAATTTAAATCATTAACAGACTTAGCTAAGTCCTATAAAGTAGAATATAGGTGTGTCTTAAAAACTGAGTCATGAAAATAGGGAATAATGCTGAGAAAGAAAGGGAAATTACTGGCACATTCATGCAGGTTAGGCCATGTTACAGATAACTCTAGTTGTATGTATATAAATTCTCCAGTACTTAAGCCTGAGAATTCTGGGCTAATGTAAAATCCCTGCATAAACAAAATCATCAAATTGTGGTGAAAATGTTGAGAGTGCATATAATCATTTTGTTTGTTGCATAAAATTACATTAAGGGCACAAGAAAGAAGTTAATTATAAAATAGAAATACAAATTGAACATTTGGTGAGGCCTTGCAAAACAAATTTTTTAAAAGAGAAACAGTCATTCCCACATTTTAGATCCAAGTCACATTTAAGATCCAAGTTGGATCTAAAATGTGAGAGAAATTCACACAGCAGGGTATCTGACATGGTTGTACTTACTCAATTAAAGAACCATAAGGTAGCCATCAACCCTGTAGTTTCTGATCCTGAAATGAATATATTTCTCATAAAAGGTGTTTTTTGTTATATGAAACTTGTTGCCAAGGTACTTACACTGTTACTAAAATCATAGCACATATCTTTCTACTGAATATCTTTAAACAGTACATTATTTAAGATATATTTTCATTAGCACTCAATAACATTGAAGCAAATATGAGGATTATTTTCTGGTATAGAAGATCAGATGATTTATTTTCCAGATGATTTCTAGTAAGATTATACTGTGGCTTTTTGCTCTTGCATTTTCTTAAATGGTCTTTTTTGAGGAATAATTTACATACAATTAAATGTACCTATTTTGGGGTCTGTTGGGGGGAATAGGGGAGAGACAGCGGCGGGTGGGGAGTTGGGGAGAGATAGCATGGGGAGAAATGCCAGATGTAAGTGAAGGGGAGGAAGGCAGCAAATCACACTGCCACGTGTGTACCTATGCAACTAACTTGCATGTTCTTCACATGTACCCCAAAACCTAAAATGCAATAAAAAAAGTAACTATTGACATCAGGTAATGTAAATACTCCAACTTTGTGCTTTTTAAAAAACTATCTTGCCTATTCCAGATCCTTTCCATTTCCATAAAAGTTTTGAATCAGCTAATCAATTTCTTCTTCTTTTTTATTTTTTTGAGATGCAGTTTCACTCTTGTCACTGAGACTGGAGTGCAATGGTGTGATCACAGCTCACTACAACCTCTGCCTCCCAGGTTCAAGTGATTCTCCTGCCTCAGCCTCCCAAGTAGCAGGGATTACAGACGCCCACCACCACATCCAGCTAATTTTTTTGTATTTTTAGTAGAGATGATGTTTCACTGTGTTGACCAGGCTGGTCTCGAATTCTTGACCTCAAGTGATCCACCTGCCTTGGCCTTCCAAAGTGCTGGAATTACAGGCGTGAGCCACCATACCCAGCCAGGTAGTCAATTTCTACCCAGCAAAAATAACTTCTATGTATTTCTATAGAATTACATTGAACATATGTTAATTTGGTTAAAATTGACATCATAACAGAATCTTGAGTCTTCCAAACCAGAAAAATGCTAAATTTCACCATTATTCTTGTCCTCTTTAACTTCTTGAATAAATATTATGAGATTTTCATTTTATAGATTCTGCATATATTTCGTTAAATACACCCCTAAATATTTACCATTTTTTATGTTATTATAAATACATTAAATTTCTTCTTCTTCTTTTTTTTTTTTTTTTTTTTTTGAGATAGAGTCTTGTCTGTCACTCATGCTAGAATGCAGTGGCATGATCTCAGCTCACTGCAACATCCACCTCCCAGGTTCAAGCAATTCTCCTGCCTCAGCCTCCCAAACAGCTGGGATTACAGGTGCCCACCACAGTGCCCAGCTAATTTTTTTTTTTTTAGTAGAGACAGGGTTTCACCATCTTGGCCAAGCTGGTCTTGAATTCCTGACCTCCTGATCCACCCACCTTAGCCTCCCAAAGTGCTGAGATTACAGGCATGAGCCACCATGCCCTGCCTTAAATTTCATTTTTTAATTGTTTATGCCTAGTATACAGAACTAAAACTCACTTGTATATATCTTATATCCTGAAACTTTGTTAAATTCACTTTAATTCCAGTAGCTTTTTTGTAGTTCCTTATTATTATTATTATTATTATTTTTTAGAGATGAGGTTTCACTATGTTGGCCAGGCTAGTCTCAAACTCCTGACCCCAGGTGACCCACCTCAGCCTCCCAAAGTGCTGGGATTATAGGCATGAGCCACCATTCCTGGCCTGTAGTTTCTTTTAACTGATTTTTTGCCTTACTACACTGAGCATTATTAATAATATGGTATGGAATAGAAGTCGTCAGAATGAATATCCTTGCTTTTTTTCCCGATCTCCGTAAGAAAGTGTCCAGTTTTTCACTGTTCAGTGTGATGTTAGCTGTAGATTTCTCAAAGATGACCTTTATGGAGGAAATTCCCTTCTAATTCTATCTTGCTGAGAAGTTTTGTTTTGTTTTTTATATTGTTTTTAACATGTAGGGTGTTACATCTTGTGAAAGGCTTTTTCTCTATTGAGATGATATGCTTTAAAAATATTTTGTTAATTTGATGAATTACATCATTTTCTTCTTTTGACTTAATTTAGGTCTCATTTGTTCTTTTTCTAATCTTTTGAAGAGAAAGTTTAAGATAATTGAACTAAACCATTTCTCTTTTCTAATGTAAACATTTAAAGCTATAAAACTCCCTCTAGGAATTAATTGAGCTGAATCCCACAAAGTTAGATGTTTTTGTTATCATTCTGTTAAAAATATTTTGTAATTTCTTTCATGATTTCTTCTTAGATCTATGGGTTATTTAGAAATGACTTGTTGATTTCCAAATATTCAGAAATTTTCCAGATATATTTTTGTCATACATTTCTAATTTAATTCTCTTCTGGTCAGAGAACATATTATGTATGATTTCACTTCTAAATTTGAGACCTCCTTTGTAGTCCTGTAGATAGTCTCTCTTGGGTGACTATTCTATATATGCTTGAAAACATTGTGTCTTCTGCTGTGGGTATGTGTCATAGAATAAGTATAAATGTCAGTTAGGTCAAATTGGTTACTGTTGCTCAACTTTTCTATATCTGTACTGATTTTCCTGCTGTATATTCTATCAGTTACTGAGAGAGGAGTGATAAAATCTCCAAATATAATTGTAAATTTCTCTGCTTCTCCTTCCAGTTTTGTCAGTTTTTGTTTTGCATTCTTAGAAGCTCTGCTACTAGGTACATAAACATTTAGAACTGATAGATCTTCTTGATGTACTTATCTTTGGAATCATCATCTGTTAATACTTGCTCCACAGTTTTAATATAGTCATTCTAGCTTTATGATTATTGTCTGCATGTATATCTTTTCCCATGCTCTTACTTATTTGTGCTTTATATGAACATGTTTTTCTTGTTCATATAAGTCTTCTATGGAAGACTTATAGTTGGGTCTTGCTTTATTATTCAGTCTGACAATTTCTGTCTTTTATATGGAGTACGTAGGCCATTAATAGACAATTATGCATACAGTTAGGTTTAAGTCTACCATCTTGTTGTTTGCCTTTATCTTACTTCTTATTTGTTCCTTTTTCCTCCTTTGGATTGAATTTTTTTACATTTTTATCTCTACTCCATGTATTGTCTCATTAGTTATATCACTAATGAGTTATATTTATTTAGTGGTTACTCTAGAGTTCACAATAGGTAACTTTACCATATAATAGTCTACCTTTAAATGACACTATACTTATTCACATATAATGTAAGACCATTGCAATATATGTCTATTTTCCTTACTCAGCCTTGTGCTAGTGTTTTCATACATTTCACTTCCATGTTATAATACCCACTATATGCTGTATTTATGCTTTAAAAAGTAACTTATAACCCATAGCTGATATAATTCTTAACGGAAAACACAAGACCAGGATGTCTACTTTTGCCACTCCTATTCAATATAGAACTACAAGTTATTTAGGCATGAAATAGAAATAAAAGATATATCGATTAGGAAGGGAGAAGTAAAATTATCTCTGTTTCAGGTGACATAATCTTATTGTAGAAAATCCTATAAATTCCACAAAAAACTATCAGAAATAATATTATAAATGAATTCAGCACAAGTTATAGGATACAAAGTCAACATACAAAGATGTTACATTTTTATACACTAAAAATGAATAATCTGAGAAGAAAGGTAACAACTCCATTTATAATAATGTTAAAATGAATAAAATACTTAGAAATAAATTTAACCAATGAGGAGAAAGACGTGTACATTGAAAACTACAATATTTTGCTAAAAGAAATAAAAGAAGATGTAAGTAATAGAGAAACATCCCATGTTCATGGATTGGAAAACTTAATATTGTTAAGATGACAATACTTCCCAACATATTCTATAGATTCAATGCAATCCCTAACAAAAATCTCAATATAATATTTTTGCATAAATAGCACAAAAATCCTAAAATTCATATGGAATCTCAAAGGACCCCAAACAGCCAAAACAATCTTGACTGTATCTTGCAGGACTCAAACTTCCTGATGTCAAAAGTTACTAGAATGCTACAGTAGTCAAAGCGACTTAGTACTGGCATAAAGACAGCCATAGAGATTGACGGAATAGAACAGAGAGCCCAGAAATAAATCCTCAAACATATGGTCAAGTAACTTTTGATAATGGTTTCAAGATTATTCAGTGGGGAAAGGAAAGTCTTTTTAACAAATGGTGCTGAGATAACTGGATATTCACATGCAAAAAATGATGTTGGAAACTTACATTACACACAAAAATTAACTCAAAATTGATTTTAAAAATCTAAACATAAGAGCTAAGACTAAAAGAGAAAGCATTGGCAAGCTTTGTGATGTAGATTTGGTGATTAATTTCTGGATATGTCATCAAAAGCACAGGCAACAAAAGAAAAAACAGATACACTGGACATAATCACAATTAAAAACTTTTGTATATTAAAGGCTATTATCAAGAGAGAGAAAAAACAGTCCACAGAATTGGAGAAAATATTTGCAAATCATATATTGCTTCGGATAAGATTACTGTTGATATATTAATAATCTTGTATTAATAGTTATTTTAATCTCATTGAGCTTAACTACCAGCTTACAGAAAGATGAGATAGAGGAAAAACTTAAACAATATGATTAAATAAGAAGAGAAATACAGAACATGAGACATTCTAAAAGATAAATAGCCTGGTAGGGATATTGTTGAAGAACTGATAAAGACTGAAGAGACAGCAGAAGGCAGTACGTAAACTGTGATTGGATCCTGGACTGTGGCTGAATATGGGTGAGAAGAAAGCTTTAAAAAATATTCTTAAGGTAACTGGGAAAACATATTAATATATATCAAGTGTGATAATAGTATTGTGATTATGCAGGAAAATGAACTGATACTGAAGAGATGCATACTAAAACGGCTAAAGATAAAGTACTAATGACGCTTAGAACTTACTTTTAAATGGTTCTGCCAAAGAAAAGAAGAGAGAGAGAAATTATGGCAACAATGTCAACAATTGCCAAATTTCAGTGGAGGGCATCTGTACTATTCCTTCCTCCTTTCCATAGATTTTTAAATTTTCAAAATAAAATGTTTTCAGTAAAAAAAAAATCTGTGAGCCCCTAAACTATACAGCTTCAAATGGTTAAAATGCTAAATTTTGTGTTTGGGGAAAAAAAAGAGCTGTGGGTATCTGACACAATGGGGCTTTTGCAGAGTTGGTTAGATTGCTCTGCATAGCTCCATGTGCATCAGCTATGAGGTGTTTGGTGTCCCTTGGAGTTAGGTAATACTACAGCTACCATGGTGTTCTCACATTGGGACAGAGTTAGGAGCAAACACAGAATCTTTATGTAGAATTAAAAAAAATAGGATGTTTACTTTTATATAATTAGTAAAATTACTTCTATATAATCGTTATTGTCAATTTCAGAGTACATATAGGGCATGATGATTTGGTCAAAAGTCAAGCCTGGCCTCAAAAGCAACCCAAAATATCCACAAACCTGGGTTCAAGGACGGAGGAGGTGGAGGTGGGAGGGGTCGGCCTTCTTTAATGGCTAGCGTACACTGCTTTGCTGATCGGATTACATTAATAAAGTCTTCGTGTTGTTGTCTCCAGTTAGACTTCCTCACAGGTGGCGACTGGAAAAAATAAAACCAACAAATAATACCCTAGATTATATACCTCTCCATTACAATTTTTTTTTAAAGCTGGAATTTGAATTCACAGGAAACAGGACTATGAAAATTGGAAAAAAGAAGAGTTTGATTTTCAAAAGCACTACTTCAAGAGGTTTGGAAAATACAGTAATATAATTTGCACACTCCAATAGTGAGGGAAAACACAAAAGAAAAATCAGAAAAGTAAAGAAACTATAAAACTTTAAAGAAAGACAAATGTAAGGTTAAAAGTGACTTTCTTCTCAAGTTAAGTGCTAGATTTAGAGCCACTCTAATGAAAATATGAACAAGATTATTTTTTGCTACATCTGGAAAATATCTGAAATATATAAGAAAATCTAAGTGAGCAAGATTATAAAGCAAACAGTAAAGGTGGATTACAGTTACATTACATTATGGCATTAGCAAGCAAAAATGAAACCAGAAATCCCAGAAATAGGCCTTAGACTACCGCAGAATGTAATAACAAACAATAAAGAAGATATCAGGAGTACCTTAGATTGTGGAGTCTTTTTCACAATAGGAATGTCAGTGCCCTGTAATCTTTGCTTCAAAGAATTGAAAGGTTTACGCTTTTTGTTGAAGAGTTTTTTACATATTGGTCCATGCCTTTTCTAGAAAACAAAGGGTAAGGATTGGAATTTTTTAAGTGCACAATCACAGTTTTTAATACTAGGCATACCTAGACAGCCTCCACTACAGGGACCGCGCTGCTCCTTAGAACCTAGTTCATTCTCTAACAGATCACAGCAGAGCAAATCCATCTGCTCTTCTCATTTGTGTTACATATGACTAGATACTGTGTTTGAGCAAAGACAATAAAATGCCTTTATAGTTAAAGAGACTTACTTCAAATTTGGGTTTATATATTTAATTCGAATGTGGACAGTATGCTGTTTACTCCAAACAGTAGTTCTTTAAGCATTCAACATTTCTGATACAAAAACTAAGGACTAACATGCAGAGCTTTGCCTGTGTACCACCTGTATGAAATATGCTATTGTGCCACTATGGGACCTTTGCCCTCTCCCTTGCCGGATACGTGACATGTAATAGCTGTCATTGACACAATAGCTTTGTCAGACCCCACAAAATACAACTCTGTGAAATCATTGCACCTGGCTAAGAACAAGCCATCCGATTTTAAACTAAAAAAGAGAGAAAGATCCAATCATTTGATCAATACCCTAGAAATAGGATTAGGAATGAAACTCAAAAGTATCCAAGAGGGACTTGACATTTAGAGATCCCTCTGCAAATGGAAGCTCTCAGTTCTCAAACTGATTCTCAGGGGGTGCAGCTCCAGGCTGGCAAAGCCAATGACACACACTGGTGGGCTACAGGGCCACAGCCAGCTCCGCAAGCTCTCCCTCCAGTTTCAGGAATCTCTAACCACAGCTAACTAAAAGACAGCTGTTTCATTTTTTAAATTCCCCAGAAAAATAAAACCTAAAACCTCATTTTATAGTCTTTTCCTGAAATGTAGTCAGGCTTACAGTCCACATCCTTTAAGTTCCATATGTCTCCTTGATCTAAAATGTCCTGACAGCTGAATTATCCTCTTAGATTTTCTTTTTGAAAAAACTGTCTTTTTTGGGAACCCCTGTATATTATTGGGGCATACCACCTATTTGATTCCCTAATTTTGAAACAAATCAAGCTTTTATTCAACTTTATAGCCATCAATCAAGGGACTTGATATGCAGTTAGCTTGAATCTCAACAATTAGATCTTGGAACAGGCCTTACATCCATGCATCATTTCGTTCAACTGGTATAAAAACCCTGAAATTAGAAGTTCTGTATACGTGGCAAAGCAGAAAACAGGAAGGTTAAAGGACTTGTCAGGATTAGTGACAAATTTGCGGCTAAAAGCCAAGTTTCCAGATGTCTGAAATTCAATGCTCATTCCTCTTGACTAGCTAATTTCCCTGGTGCTTTTGCCTTGAAATTTGAATTTTTGATGCTTAAAGAAAAGGCGGAAGAGCCAAAATCTCTCAAGGGATCACTGACAATGCCAAGATACTTCCATCTGGCATCATTTCAGGAGGACCATGTTTAACAGGGTCGCTTTTGAATGAGGCAGCATCAGTCTGTCTCAGTGTTCTCTGGGCCCACAAGCCATAGGTTATATACTTCTCCTCTTCCCTTGCTTCTCCTCCACATCTGTCTTTAATCTTTGCACTGCGGCCTCCTCACTGACTTGACAGTTCATTTAAGTCCAATGAAACACATCTACAAAATGTCTTTATGTTTACCAGAACATCTGCTGCAAAGCGTCTTCCACAGACTTCACATGGAAATAACTCCTGATTGCCATCTGTGTAAAATTCAAGAGCACATTATGTTAGTTTCATGGAATTGCCTGGCTGAGAAGAAGTGACTGACTGGAGGTGACCTCAATAGCTTGATATCCTAACTCTCTTTTCCCTCCCCAACAACTGCTTCTTCCCCTTGGGAAGACCCTTTGTAAACTCACCTGTGTTTTCCTTTTCTGATATAAACTTCTCACTTCACTAAACAAGTAAATTCCATATCCTTCAGGCAACCAGAGTATAATTATTTGATGTATTATTTAATACACTCTTAAATGAAGTGCCTGATAACTTTGCTTGAGACATAAGCAAAAAATACCTAAGTATAAGGCCAGTCATAAATACTCCAGTGGTAACATCTTTAGAATTCCTACTATAATATAAGTTCTGTGAAGGCTGAGACTGTGCCTATTTTATCCCCAATGCCTCCAAGTACTTGACCCATAATAAATAAATGCTGGTTGAATGCATGGGTCAAGCAAGAATTGAATTTCTAACATAACAATCATTCATTTGATAAGTAGATATTGGTTATATGCAATTTTGTGGAAATATTGGGAGAAATCATACATGGGAACAGCATAGAAAAAAGTATGCAGATAATTAATGACATAGAAAACTATTAAGAGAAAAGCACTCACACCTGTAATCCCAGCACTTTGGGAGGCCGAGGCGGGTGGATCACAAGGTCAAGAGATCAAGGCCATCCTAGTCAACATGGTGAAACCCCGTCTCTACTAAAAATACAAAAAATTAGCTGGGCATGGTGGCGCGTGCCTGTAATCCCAGCTACTCAGGAGGCTGAGGCAGGAGAATTGCCTGAACCCAGGAGGTGGAGGTTGCGGTGAGCCAAGATCGCGCATTGCACTCCAGCCTGGGTAACAAGAGCAAAACTCTGTTCCCCCGCCCCCCCCCCCAAAAAAAGAGAAAAGCAAAATATTATGAAATTCCAAAAAAAAGTTTCTTTATATTACTTCCTTTCGGTTCATCAGGAGTATGTAAATATTTAAAAAAGCACTTTTATCAAAGTTATGATGTCTTAGGTTAAGAAGAAAAGCAGTTTGAAGTATAAGCATAGATTTTATATTAGACCAATCATCTGGGCTTTACATGAAAGGAAAACAACACAGAACATTAAATCGGAAGAACCTAAAAAGAGCCGTGGAAGATGGACGGGACAAAGGTGAGGCGGGGTGAATGGGCTGTGGGTATAGCGGGAAAAGACTGGAGTTTAGTGAAAAAGCTGCAGGTGGGCCATGCGTGGTGGCTCATGCCTGTAATCTCAATACTATGGAGGGGCTGAAGCAGGAGGACTGCTTGAGCCTAGGAATTCAAGACCAGCTTGGGCAACATAGGGAGATTGTTTCTCTACACAAAATAAAAAATTAGTTGGACATGGTGGCTCACGCCTGTGGTCCCAGCTACTCAGGAGGTGGGAGGACCACATGAGCCCAGGAGGCAGAGTGAGCCATGATCACAACACTGCACTCCAGCCTGGGAGACAGAGCAAGAGTTTCTCTCCCCAACACCCACAAAAAAAGCTGGAGGTGGAGACGTGAAATGAAAAGGAAAGAGGAGATTGGAGATTCTGTGTCACAGTCAACAACATGATTAGACTTGTGTTGGGTAGGAGGTGGCAAAGGGAGAAGAATGCTTGAGGACTATTCTACGTTCAGAGGCAGAAGGATGAGAAGATGCTGGGGATGTGAGATAGAAATAGCAAACTTGAAAAGAAAGGCCATCTTAGGAAGAAAAATGACTTCAGCCTTGGAAATACTGAGTTGACCTAGAGTTGTCCAGCCAGCAGGATGGAAATGAGGGAGGTCACGGTTAGAGACACAGATGTAGGCTTTGAGGAATGAAGTAAAGGCATGATATTGCCAGGGAAGAAGTCATGGAAAGAGAAGTACAGAGATGATCCTTAGGGAAACTTACATTTAAGGGCCAAGAAAATGATGATGATCAGCCAGGAGGAGAAACAGGAGAGAACAGGGTCATGGAAACCGAAGGAAGACAGTTTGAAAAAGGAAGGGCTAGTTAACAGGAAGCAGATGGGTAGCCTGCTACAGACATTGTTGATTTAAATGATTTCTTCTCACATCTGCTAATTGGTATTGTGTTTTCAACACAGGCCATCCATCACAGCACACAGAAATACCTGTTGCCCTCCCTGTTCTTTTGTGTTCTTTTGGCACAGTTTGTAAAACTGCATCTAAATCTGAATATATATAAAAAAATGTATACATATTTTTACGCAAGGGTACCACAACCTGAAACTACTCATCCTGATTATAAAACTGCTGTTGCTCTTTCTAAAACACTAGTGAAGGATAATATATTTTTATTAATATGACAATAACATTTGTGTGGTGTTTTCCCATGTTATCTCACATGACCCTCACAGTAACCCTATGAGACAGGGTTAGTACTATTTGTATTTTACAAATGAGATAAAGGAGGTTCAAGTAAGTAACCTCTCTAAGACTGCAGGTAGTAAGTGGTAATACTGACACTTGATTTTGGGTCTTTCTCTTTCCAAGTATTAAGACTATTAATTCAACCATCACAACTAGAGATATGTTAGTATTCACCCGCAAAGCAACTAGAAGTCCCTAGAGGATCAATGACCTTTGGTTGACATCAGTGAGTTCAATGAATTTAAAATACTGACAGATACAAATGATATGATTCAATTCAATACTTGGATACAAACGGACCACCACATTCTGAACCACATTCAACTCAGAAGCTTTACTATAAGGAAGGGAACACCTACCCTACCTAGCCAGCTGCATCAAACATCAATGAGGTCTGCAGTGTTTCTGTAAACTGAATCACATGGAATATGTGATTGCTAGAAACTTAAAAGACCCTTTGAAACTCCCAAAATGCCTTTCAATAGGTGAAAGGGTAAACAAACAGTGGTATATCTATAGCCTGGAATACTACTCAGCAATAAGAAAGTTCATTTTTTTTTTTTTTTTTTTTTTTTTTTGAGACAGGGTCTTGGCCTTTAGCCCAAGCTAGGGTGCAGTGGGGTGATTACAGCCATTATCGTCTCTGCCTCCTGAACTCAAGCAATCTTCCTACCTCAGCTTCTTGAGTAGCTGGGACAAGCTAGTTTTTTATCTGTTAGAGAGATGGGCTTTCACTATCTTGCTCAGGCTGGTCTCAAACTCTTGGGCTCAAGCAGTCCTCCTACCTCAGCCTCCCAAAGTATTGGGATTGCAGGTGTAAGCCACTGTGCCCGGCCAAAAAAGAACACCACTGATACATGCAACAACCTGGATGGATTTCAGTGGTGGGTAAAACAAGCCCATCTTTAAAGGTTACATACTGTGTGGTTTCATCTGCACAACATATTCAAAAATGACCAAAGTAGAGAGATAGGAAACAGATTAGAGATTGTCAAAGGATAAAGATGATCGGGAGTGGGGTGGAAGGTAGCTGAGACTATATGGGGTTAGAATGAGGGAGATCTCTGTGTGATGGAATAGTTACGGATCTCCATTGTGAGGTGGTTACGCACTTATCAAATGGTGCAGACTGTGAACACAGTTGTACTAATGTCAGTTTCCTGGCTTTGACATTGTACTGCAGTTATTTAAGATGTAACTTGGAGAAAACTGAGTAAAAGGGCATCCAGCATCTCTCTGTGCTATTTTGTAACTTTTTGTAAAACTATATCAAAATAAAAAGTTTAAAAATAATATCTAGGGGTCAGCAAAATGTAGCCAGTGGGCAAAATCTGAGGCTTTCTTTTTTTCCTTTTCTTTTTTTGAGACAGAGTCTCGCTTTGTCGCCAGGCGCCAGGCTGGAGTGCGGTGGCACGATCTCAGCTCACTGCAATCTCTGCCTCCCGGGTTCAAGCAATTCTCCTGCCTCAGCCTCCCGAGTAGCTGGGACTACAGGCACGTGCCACTATGCCAAGCTAATTTTTTGTATATTTTTAGTAGAAATGGGATTTCATCATGCTGGCCAGGATGGTCTTGATCTCTTGACCTCGTGTCCACCCGCCTCGGTCTCCCAAAGTGCTGGGATTACAGGCATGAGCCACCACGCCCGGCTGGCTTTTTTTTTTTTTTTTTTTGGTAAATAAAGTTTTATGGGAATACAGCCTTGCTCATTTGTATACAATTTATTGCTACTTTTCTGCTCCAACAGCAGAATTTAATACTTTCAATGGAGGCCATATGATCTGCAAAGCCAAAAATTATACTATTTGGCCCTTGACAGAAATAGGTGGCCAAAAATTGCCAAACCATTTTTACAGTAATTGAAAAGGATTTGTGGGAGAATAACATGGAAAAATATTAATGAAATATTTTATTCATATATTTACTAATAAAGACTGGAAGGCACATACAGAGTAGTTACTTTTGGTATGAATAAAGATGAATATTATTTCACTTTTCTGTATTTTCAAACTTTTTATGAAAATTATGCATTACTATTTTAAAAATCAGAACAAATGAATACCTTTCAAAAAATAAAAAGAACCCCTTTGGTAGAAAATGTTCTAAAACAATGAGTATCACCTCAGCTATTTCTATCTTTTTCCTCTCTATTTAGAATCATACTTGGTAAACTATTATAGTGGCTATTTTTAAACATTGGTTTGTAATCTTTGAAATTGTTAAAAATGATTAACAGTAATCTGGGAGTGATAAAGCTTTGTTTAACACATCAAAAATAAAAAATAGGTCAGGCATGGTGGCTCACACCTGTAATCTCAGTATTTTGGAGGCTGAGGCGAGAGGATTGCTTGGGTCCAGGAGTTCAATACCAGCCTGGGCAACACAGTGAGACCTCCATCTCTACAAAAAATTTTAAATATTAGAATTAGCCAAGCATGGTGGCATGTGCTTGTGGTCCCAGCTACTCAGGAGGCTGAGATCAAAGAATCAGTCAAGTCCAGGAGGCTGAGGATGCAGTGAGCCATGACTGATTGTGCCTGGGCAACAGAGCTAGACTCTGTCTCAAAAAAAAAAAAAAAAAAAATCAG